GCGCACCGCCGCCGCGCCCGCGGCGCCCCGAGCCGCGCCCGGAGCTGCCCTCGGGGTCCTGCGCGGCCGCCGACGCGGCGAGCGCGGCGGCGGCGCCGGGGCGCGCGAGCAGCTCCTCCGCAATCATCTGGAAGACGCTGCGGCGGAAGAGGCTGCCCTGGGCGAAGCGCTGGATGCGCTGCACGACGGACAGGTCGATCTGGCGGCCCGCGCTGCGCTCGGAGCTGTCGCCGCGCAGCCAGCGGTGGTTGAGGGCCTCCTTGGCGGTGGGGCGCTTGGCGGGGTCCCTGGGAGATGACGGGTGCAGGGTGCGGCGCCAGTGGCGACGGTGTTTGGCTGTGGTCACATTGGTCGTGCGCATTGGTGCCTGGGAATATCACAAAGGCGCTTACAAGGTCCGCGTCAGCACGGCGTGACTACAGCCTGCAGCTCGCAGTCGCGGGGGGCCGCCACGCTTCTCGCTATTTCAGCCGCCTCGGGGGCGCCATACGGTCCCATGCACGCGCGCATGCAATGCAGTACACACGCGTGAGTGCGTGCGTGCGCTTGTGTGTGTGTGTGTGTGTGTGTGTGTGTGTGTGTGTGTTCTCACCTGTTGAGAAGGCCCTCCACAAAGTCCTTGGCGTCCTCGCTGATCCCGCGCCACCAGGGGGCGCCGTAGTTGACCCTGTCGCACAGCACGCTGCGCCAGATGGCGCTGATGGAGGGCGAGGAGGGGCTCTTGTGGTCGTCAAACGGCAAGCGGCCGGTCAGCAGTTGGTGGGCCATGACGCCAGCGGACCAGAGGTCAGAGGCCGGGACCACCTGGGAGGACAGCACCTCAGGGGCCATGAACCTGTTTGAATTGAAATGTAAAATTGGAGTGCAAATGAGCGAGGACAAGAAGAGCGAGAGAAAGGGGAATGGGATGCTCACACGCAACTGTGTTTGTTGCGACATTTACGGCAGGGGGTCCCGAGCCAGCACGAGAGAGCAGGCTGCCGCGGCTGCCGTCGTCGCAGCACGAGCCGGCGCATGTGCGCCGCCGGCGCGCAGCAGCGTGCCGCGGACCCACCAGGGGGTGCCCTCCAGCCCCAGGTCTGAGCGCGGCAGGGCCTCCGGGTCAAAGGGCACCGCCAGGCCAAAGTCTATGGCTTTGAGGGGTGAGCGCTCGCTGTTGTCCAGCAGCATGAAGTTGCCCGGCTGTAGCGGGGTGGCAGGGGCAAGGGGGTTGCGGTGAGGGGTGCGTGCGGGGGCAGAGGGTGAGGGGCGGGTTCCCACTGGGGCGGG